GGATTGGGCAGCAGTAGAACCATAAATGGAGAGTGCATAGTCTCGATCTAATAACTCTCGAAGGCGAAAATGTTCACGATCTGCATCAAAATCTCCATCTATTTCTGCTAGTCTCTCATGGATGATCTTGATTATGTCACTGGTTACAGCTTCACATGCATCAATTTTCCGTCTTAAATCAGGTGTTGGTGCAACTTGACCTCTTATTTCTGAGTAGAGTTTCATCACATCTTCTTTTCTATTTTCTAGATTATCTGCAAGTATTGACATTTCTGATTCTGTAATGTCTGTCTTTAAATTTTCTCTAGTTTTTCGTGCATTTGTTTTCCACAACTCATACATGCTGAAGAGCCTTTTTCCCTTTTTCTCTAATTCTTCTTTCTGATAAGCACTCATTTTTTCTGTTGGCACTTTAGTACGTTCAGAACGCCGTGGGTTTTCTGACATACTTTGGGCTTTCTAAGTGTGAGTCAGCAACAGACTTTTCTTTGCATTTAACAGTTTTATCAAAGTCCTGTCTTGGGTTTTCACTTCTGTCTTCAAYCAGTGATTTAGCATTTTCTTCCTCCATTTGTGGATTAACAAACTGTCTTTCAGTGCTTTTAATTCTCAAGATGGACTGGGTGATTTCCTCATTTCTTTACAGTTCTTCACTTTTTAGACTAACCTCAGCCCTCTGCTGGTCATTTTTTGGTAGCTGCACATCAATGTCTTGGAAGCATGGTGAAATATGGCGCCGGACGATGGTCAAGTTCTTACTGTAGCAGCCAGTCGAGCAAAGATGAGCCTTACTGATGGTTAAGGTGTCTTTTATTTTAAACTTTGCAGCATATTTCCGTCCTTCAACCAACGTAAGAACTAAAAGCAACAAAAAATATATAAAAGAAAATTACAATCTCGTTTTAACATTTCAAACTTTTTCTAAAAGGACATTAGCATACATTTTTCTTATTGTAACATCTTCATTAAACATATATTTACCTTGTTCCTCCTTCTCAACTGGTACTAAACCTTTTGCCTTTTATTTATCCGTGCTTTAATATCACACCACGCTATTTTCTCTTCCTTTGCCGTTGTCTGCTTACATCAAGCTAACTACTGAAATACATATATAATGTCCTTCAAAATAAGAGACTTCCGGGTTTACAGGAAGTTACAAAAATAAAAGCGTATGGAAATAAGATTGACCTTCAAAATAAAAATACCTTTAGTAAATGGCCTTTACACTCCCACCAAATTATGAGTGTTTACATATTAATATTTTACATCAAAACACAAATAATTTCTGAATACAGAACAAATGTTTCACAGAACAACACTCTAAATGACAAGTTGAGAAAGTTTACCTTCCCTTAATGTTTAGGGGGTTTCTAGCAGCAGAACTAACTTGTGAACTGGTCTTTCAATTACAGACAGTTTGTGTATAGGTTCACCACATTTGTTCAGATCTTTATCTGCTAAAACAACTTTAACTCTTCGAACAAGTCCATCCTTATCGGTGACAACCTCTGATACTCTTCCAAGACGCCACACAGATCTTGGCTGGGTTTCCTCTGAGTCTATCACAATGTCACCCACTTTAATGTTTCTTTTAGGTGTGTGCCACCGTTGTRTGAGCATTAAGCTGTGAAGATACTCTTTCCTCCAGCGGCTCCAGAACTGTTCAGCCATGTATTGCACATGACGCCATCTTTTTCTTCCATACAAATCTTCTCTGCAGAAGTTTCCTGGAGGCGGTGGTGGAGTTGTGGCCTTTAAGGTGATAAGGTGGTTAGGAGTAAGAGGTTCCAAGCTGTTTGGATCGCTCAAGTTGTCTGTTGTAAGAGGGCGATTATTCACTATTGCTGCAGCTTCATAAAGGAAAGTCCGGAGAGAGGCATCATTAAGCCCACCTGGGGAGATTGCAAATGTGGAGTTGAGGACATTTTTAACTGTTCTTATGTGTCGCTCCCACACTCCTCCAGCATGGCTTGCATGAGGTGCATTGAAGACAAAATCACATCCTTTTTCTGCTAGAAAAGCACTCAGTTTTTCAGTATTAACTTCCTGTAGAGCTGTGTTCAGTTCATTTTTGGCACCAATAAAATTGGTACCCTGGTCACATTTAATCTGCTTCACATAACCTCTCAGTGCAATAAAGCAGCGCAGACCATTGATAAAGGCATCTGTGGATAGATCATCTAACATCTCCAAATGTATTGCACGAGAGCTGAAACAAGTGAAGATCAGGCCGTATCTTTTGTTTTCCTTTCGTCCATTTTTTGTCAGGAAAGGGCCAAAACAATCGATGCCGCAGTATGTAAAAGGGGGAGATGGTTCCATTCGGTCTCTGGGTAAATCACTCATTTTCTGTCCTTCTGGAGGTCTCCTCAGTTTCCGGCAGAATACACAATGGTGGATAAAAGAAGCAACACAATGGTTTAGCCCCGGAATCCAATATCCTTGAGATCGAATCTCATTCATTGTGAAGCCTTTGCCCTGGTTTTTAACATTTTCATGACAATGTCCAATGATTAACTGTGTAACATGATGCTGTCTGGGGATGACTGTTGGATGTCTGAACGAACAAGGCATACTTGAACTGTTCAGTCTTCCTCCCACCTTGAGCACAGCATTGCTGTCTAAGAAGACTTCCAAGCGATGGAGTTTGTTGTTATGTGGGAGAGGTTTTCCTTTGCTTAGTGTCTTTATTTCTTCTCGAAACGCTTGATTTTGCAAATCTTTAATGATCACACACTCTGCTTCTTGCCTTTCCTTTACAGTGGAGCGAGTGTTAGACTTGTCTTTCAGGAGTCGTCTTCGGAGGCGTACCACAGCGCTGACTGCCCGATTCCAAGAAGAAAACTTGATCAGACGATCTGAGAGGCTGAATTGTGTAGTAACACTTGTGTGCAATGACTGAACCCTTTTCACTTCTGGGTCTCCAACAGGAAGCTCCAGAGTTTCCTTTGCAGGGAAACTGATTTCCTTGTCCCACAGAAATGTAGGTCCTCTGAGCCAACTAGATGACAGTAGTTCTTCTACTGTTGTTCCTGTTGAAGCATTATCTGCAGGGTTATTAGATGTGGATACATACAACCATTGTTGTGGATTTGTGCTGTTACAGTGGTTTGCAAAAGTATTCATACCCCTTGAACTTTTCCATATTTTGTCACATTACAACCACAAACATAAATATATTTCACTGGAATTTAA